CTCAACATTCTGTTTCCACGATATATTACTTCACATGTTTACCGATACTTTCTGAAGTACATTCTCAACATTCTGTTTCCACGATATATTACTTCACATGTTTACCGATACTTTCTGAAGTACATTCTCAACATTCTGTTTCCACGATATATTACTTCACATGTTTACCGATACTTTCTGAAGTACATAAATGACATTCTGTTTCCACGAGATATTACTTCACATGTTTACCGATACTTTCTGAAGTACATTAACAACATTCTGTTTCCACGAGATATTAGATCACATGTTTACCGATACTTTCTGAAGTACATTAACAACATTCTGTTTCCACGAGATATGACTTCACATGTTTACCGATACTTCCTGAAGTACATTAACAACATTCTGTTATTTGTTTCATAAATTAATTTTTAAATTATACTAAAGAAGACTGGTGGTTAGGGCGCTCGATTCGTGAGTTCAAACCTCCGTCACCGAACATGCTCGTCCTATACGGTTGCAGACTGGGCCAGCCACCCTGGTATAAAAAAATCTTGACTTACAAAAACACCGGCCAATCCCAGACTATTTCGGATTAAGGAGAAGAAAAAGATTGGTAGTAATTAAAATATTTAAAACTTTACTCCGTGTTCAGGTTTTAACCAATATATACTGAAAAAAGTTCTGGTGTCTATTAAAACATGTTACAATCAGTAAAGAAAACAAGTAACAGAGTTGAACTAAACGATTTCGTTCATTTACCGATATAGATAAGTTTATATTTATAAGGAATTAAATGGTTTGAATCGTCATCTTTGAAAACTAAGTTAGATTATAAGAAGAATAATATACCTCCAGTTGTTACCCATATCGACACCAAAAGAATCAGAACACTGAAACACCTCATGATAACCAATATTCTTCAGTTGATTGATATCTGAAAACAAAAAATTATGAATTATCACGTCTTACATTGTTTGAGTGAATGAATAATGTCCAGTACATTTGTCATATAAAGCCTATAGAACTTGGTTCCATACTTCAAGCAGCATTATGTATTAGTGTTTTATGAAGCATAAAAAATCAAATATGAATGAATTATTTTATAATGTTTCGTTTTTGAAGACTGAATTTGAAAAATTTCTCCTACGGTATTTATTTGATTACTATAAAGAAAGTTAACTCACTTCGTTACTGGGTAAAGATATTACGTTAATAACTCTAAATTTGTTAATTTCGATGAATTTAAACTCATGCTGAAGTAGTATACAAAACATTTCGTTAAAGTACTGGTTGGATAAAAACCATAAAATTCTGCGGATTGATCACTTGAACTAGTTTGTCTCAAGCTGTATTGTTTTTAACCCGTTTACAATCTGTAATTTTGAATAATATATTACACTGAATGTAAAATATATCCAATCAAACATGTTGAAACTAAATAGGAGAAAAATCACTTAGGAAGTATCTATAATTTATAATAATAGACACTTTAAGGTTGAGTTGAAACAACACCCAATTCGTACCTACAACTGTACAGTTTATGACAGATAAATAAGTCATATACCATATCATAAAACGTTTTATATTTAGAGGAAAATCACTTAGTTTTTCTTGTGCTAAGATCTGTTTAACTTTTATAGTTATAAAGCCATGAGTTTGTGAATTTTTTTACTTATATGAAATAATATATTGTATGTTACCTGACTCATTGTCCCACTTAAAATGCTAAAATGTGGGGTTTGATTCTCGCTGTAAAAAGCAGATAGCCCACTGTGGCTTTGCTCTATAACAAACAAAGAGACGTCCTTATATTAGATATTTCCCACAAGCCCAAAATTCTCAAGGGCTGGTAGGTAGTCCGAGGGTTATGAAAAGTTAGTCTGTTAAAGAAAATTTTCAATTTCAATATAAATTAAATGTCATGATAAAATTTTGTTACACGTTATTTTATAGCAATAAATATAAAAATGTGTGTGTGTATTATAACAAAGCCACATTGGGCTATCTGCTGTGTTCCACAGCAGGAAATCCAAACCTAGGTTTTAGCTTTGCAAGTTCATAGACTTACCGCTGTCACGCCTGTGGATAATAATAAAAAAGTAATAATAATTATAATAGTAATAACTGCTTTTCTTCTGTAGATGTCGCCAGGACGACTGGAAATATGAATGACTACATCGACAAAGTTCTACAAAACCTTAAACAAAATCCTGAATATGTTTCCAAAATTGATCCTCTTATTGTCGGAACTGCTGTAGATGAAGGCAAATTCCGAGCTACTGATGTTGTCGTCAGAGGTCTCTCAAGTATTGGACGGCGAGGTGACGTAACACTAACAAATGATGAAGCCAATCAAAAAGTTGTTTTAAATGCGAACGTTGGAGTGTCAGGCGTTAGTGCCAGTGGTAAATATAGATACAGGCAAAACAGACTTATTAAGCTAAAGGGAAGTTTTCAAGCTAGAGTGAACGAAGTAGCTATACAAATCATTCTGTCAGCTCCTTTGAACGGTGGCCAGGTGACCTTGGTTTCAGCAAAAGTTACTCGGTTTGATGGATTTAAGATAACGAAGGTGTCTGGAGCTTCATTTCTTTTCGACTGGATTTTAAAATATGCTGCTAATAAAATTGCACAGAAATCAAAAGAGAAAATCGTTTCTGGCATGGAGAGTTCTCTACAGAGATATCTTAAAGATGCCTTAGCGAAAGTTACCTTCCCAGGAAGTGTCTAAATGTTGTTTTGAGAAACACAGATTTGTTTCTAATGTTAAGCAAACATTTCTGAATTAAATTAGTAAAGTACAAATACATTTCTTGAGATTGTTGTATAAATTTAAATAAAATATTTCATGAGAGACTGTAAAGATTTTTCTTCTCAGTGACATCTTTTCTAAGTACTTCAATGAAAGACCAAAAATATTTTTTTTTATTTTAAAAACCTTTTCTGAATTTACAATTTTCTGTTATTTAATTTTTAGTTAAAATGTAATTTTACAGAACAGTGTAGTAAACTTGTAAATGAAACAGATTCACTTTCTTACCAATTTGGATTTGTTATTACAAAATGATCTACAATTTTTCACATATCCATACATAATAATGCAATATCTTTGGGCTGATATTGATATCATCTCCTTTTTCAATTTCTTCATAATCTTCAACTTAATGGTAATATTAAAGCATCACGGACACAGATTTAGTACATAAATTCAAAATATTATTAGTACACTTTATAATAAACAAATAATTCAAACATATCAATATTCATTTTAATATTTCGTTCACAAATCATAAATCATATTTCCATATATTTTACATTTTCAAATTCTTTCACTTATATATTGTGAATGTGAAACGATAGTATGATATATTATCTTTTACTCTCCCTCACCAAAAACATCAACCAATTTTTAACAATAACATAACTTTCCTATGATCAATTATTGACTCTCATATTCTGTTCTAACTTAGACTGCACCAGCTGTACTGGCAGGTGAAATTCATGACATTCATTTAGGAGATTTCATTTTTAAAATACAGCAATCTTATCTCTTTCATAGTACAAAAACCAAACCTACCTTTCATTATTTTGCAAATATACTTGCGACAGTTCTCAAAATCAGTAATATAAAAGTTACTTTTTATAATCCACTTAGTTTATAAAATACTGGATTATTTAGCTATTGTCTCATTTAAAATATTTTTTTTTAATTTTGTATACTTCAACGTTATAAACATATTATTAGTTGTTTATTTTGTTCAATATGTAAGATTATACATTTTTAATATAGTTTATAAACGAAAAACTATTAATGTACAATTCTTTACAATAGAAACATTTTATGCCCACTTGTCAGTAAGATTAAACTATGCCTGACATAAAGCAAACAGTCAAAGTTCAAACAGGGCCAGTCCTGAGGGATGAGTTGACCAATTGAAATTTAGAAATTTACCATTAGGGTAATGACTGGTACAAAACAAAATGTCAAACTAGATTCAGTCATTTGTATATAAACTTCAGTAAAATCAGATTACAACCTCTTTGATTTCAGTGCTTATGCATTAGTAGTTAACATGGGACTCTGGAAGCAAAAGTAAACATGTACTGCCAAAGGGAATAAGAGTAATTGAATCTGGCAGTCCCCTTAGAGTATAAGGGTTGGAAGATTTAATTAACGTAATTAAATATATATCCACATTAATTAATTCACTTTTTTCTAACATCTACATATTAATTATTCAGTTAAGTAACTAACCTTTAATTGATAAAACAGTAATTAGTTATAAATTAGTCATCCAATTAATTAATTAACCATTCATTAATAAAAATTAATTAGATATTAATTCTCATTTCCATAGTATGTAATAATTACAGGAAGTGATACCAGTTATTGACAATAATTATAGGCTCACATAAATCAATCATATCTAATTATAGTGTGTAGTAACAGGTTGTCATGCTCACTAGTGGCATAGCAGTATGTCTGCGGACTTATAATGCTAGAAACCAGGTTTCGATAATAGTGATGAGCAGAGCACAGATAGCCCTTTGCGTAGCCTTCTGCTTAACTTCAAACAAGCAAACAGATTCTCATTAAACGACGCTAATTATCGACAATAATTTTAGCATGGTTTGAGTTTTGCATGAACCAATCATAACTAATTATGATCCTCATGACTTGATGCCAGTTATTGAAAATAATGTGAGATAATTATATTTTGAAAATCTTAAGGCATGATTATAGTGTATTATAGTGAAACAACAGTTGTGTATGTAATGAGAAAAAAGGAAGATGATCATACAGAATAAAAGCTGACATGACGTTGTCAGCTTCCCATGGGAGAGGTATAAAAAGTTCAACAGAGAGCTAACTTCGTATATTTTCTACATTATGGAACAAACAAAGGTAAGATTAGTCTTTATTAATAAATATTCTGTTCTCATCACTGTTAATTCTGTTGTTTTACACATATTCAATTCTTATTGTTAATAAATAACTATATTAATTGTGGCTAATACATGTTTCAATTTCATTACTATTTTTTTAACAGGCATCTAATAAACTTCTCTGCTACTACATGATGCAACAAATCATTAATCATATCTTCTATGGAAATAAGTCAGAGTTCTCTAGAAACGAAATATTTATCCGACGATAGAAAAGCTGGGGTAAGTGTTTTTCCTAATAGTGTTAATGAATGACGTGTTAATTTTGACGCATTCGATTAAATAAGACTACATTTCTTTTATTTTCTTTAACATACATCTTGTAAACGTCCCCGAGCAGATGTATTTAATATCTTCAAAACTTTATCAAAACATGTCAAAGAATATATTGCCATGTCTACGATTTTTCAAGTAGCCTTTAAAGAAGACTCATACGGGCAGCCTCTCACAAATATTCTAAATTCGTTTAATTAATTATAATATTCTGGACATCCTTTAAAATCCAAAGGTAATGTAAGAGTCAGAATATTTTCTACACAGTTATATAAACCTACTAACACATGTTTAAAAGACAATGATTTGGTTTCACTCGACATGGTACTTGATTAGAGTGAATAAGGGTTAACATTAAATTATTCATACAATATTGAGGTCACAGCTTTACAAATACCTGTAGGTAGAAGTTGATATCACTAATATTAAGACTAATATGGCTAACGATCTCAGAGGTTCGTGTAATGTTCCAATTGGTCTTTGTGGAATAATATGGCTAATGATCTCAAAGGTTCCTGTAATGTTCCAATTGGTCTTTGTGGAATAATATGGCTAACGATCTCAAAGGTTCCTGTAATGTTCCAATTGGTCTTTGTGGAATAATATGGCTAACGATCTCAAAGGTTCCTGTAATGTTTCAATTGGTCTTTGTGGAATAATATGGCTAACGATCTCAAAGGTTCCTGTAATGTTCCAATTGGTCTTTGTGGAATAATATGGCTAATGATCTCAAAGGTTCCTGTAATGTTGCAATTAGTATTTGTGGAATAATATGGCTAACGATCTCAAAGGTTCCTGTAATGTTCCAATTGGACTTTGTGGAATAATATGGCTAACGATCTCAAAGGTTCCTGTAATGTTCCAGTTGGTCCTTGTGGAATAATATGGCTAACGATCTCAAAGGTTCCTGTAATGTTCCAGTTGGTCCTTGTGGAATAGAAGAGAAGAATGTTTGAACGTCACCTAAAAGTTCAAACACACTTTGGATAATTTCAATAGAATTATCTACAAAGGACCATAATATCCTGAAAAAATTTTCGTTTGGTCTCATGATAACCATTTCAACGTTATAACATCAATGAAGGGTTTTCTCGGTGTCTCCTATTACTGTTCTGATTGTGATAAGTGTTTAGTAATTTAATTATAGATTATTGTACAAGTTTGTTACTGTGAAGGCTGCATAAACAATCAATCCTTCGTATAGAAGACGAAGACTGCAGTTATTAAAACAAAATATTAACCGTTTGCTGAACTCAAACACTTCCATTGAGTTTCTGTTGTACTAAATATGAAAATTAACAAAATTCTGATGTTTCACCTGTGATTTGCCTTCAATTGTTCTTCGAAAGTAGCCTGAAATCTAAGTTTTGACTTTGTCCTAACACTTTTGCACAGTACTGTATATTGACTTTATATCTCAGTATTCATGGAGAAACAGATATTGTGAGTACTCTATTGGACATCCCGTAATCATTACAATAAAATTATTTAGGTTTTGTAAAATTTTAGCAGAAGGAAACTCTATCTTCCTGTTTTACTTCTGAGAAGCAACGGTAAATTAACTTTTCCTCTCTGTCACACGTGTGTTAGTTTAAGAATACCACTCCTGTGTAATCACTTGGATGATGAGAGAGCTTTTATCAGCACATGGGTTACTAAAGATGTGAAAAAAGCATTCAAGTGTGTTTATAAGATAATACAAATTTATGAAATTTGTCATTTTTCTTAAAAATTTAGCAATCTTTTTAAAGATTATATTGATGTGTTTTTGAAAATACACAGGAAAATTTAGGATGGCCTTTTCACTGCATTACATCAGAGGCAAAACAGGAATATATTGAAATGTGCGCTGAATAGAAAGGTGTGCAACTGACCCACTGAAAATAAAGGTTAATCCAAGCAGAAGGTTGGTTGTGACATTTTCTTTACTCTTTCTGGGGTCGTTGGAGTATATCCGAGATCTAATCGCAACTGACCTACATGTATGTAACATATGTTAAACAGTATTACTCTTTAATGAATGATAACACCAACATTGTAACAGATGTTACACAAGTTAACGACGAAGTAAACTGATCTTTATTGTAAACATAAGCACGAGTACGTACCTCAGAAAGATCAAACTTACATCTTCCTAGTGACTTTCACGTCTGCTCAAGCTCGTCTGAAATTGTACTGTGCACTAGAGACATTAGGCCCATCTGTACTGTAATACGACACAGACAGTATTGTGTATATTTCAGATGGAACAAATGATCCACTTCTAGGTGATTATCCTGAGGAATTTATAGATGAGCTCAGTGGACATTACAGTACCTCGTGGGTCAGAGGTGGACCTAAGAACTATGGATATTCACGTGAAGATGGAAAGTCCTGTTCTAAGATCAGAGTATTTACTCTCAATTTTATCAATTGTGAGAAGTTAAACTTTTCTTCAATGAAGAGTACAGTATTGGATACTTTTAATTCTCCTCAGCATGCCATTACAATAACGAATAACAAGAAAATATGTCGGGATAGGAAAACACTAACTATAATTAATAACCACAAAGGCACAAAATACCCCCCTGTCTACAGCAAAAGACATGTTGTAATATACTTTAATACCCTACCATATGGTTATTAAATTATTTATTTTTCTTT